GAAGACTGCGAAAGAAGTTTTTCAGAATTAAAGAAGCGGCTGACCACTGCACCTGTGCTAGCCTTACCGAGTGGATCGGGAGGATGTACAGTTTATAGTGATGTCTCCTATCTGGGCCTGGGTTGTGTCCTGATGCAGCATGGAAATGTTATAGCATACGGGTCCAAACAGTTAAAGAATCATGAGAAGAACTATCCCACCCATGACTTAGAACTTCCCGCAATCATTCATGCCTTGAAAACCTGTTGCCATTATTTGTACGGAGAAACCTTTCAGATCTATATCGATCACAAGAGTTTGAAACACATATTCACTCAGAAGGATCTCAACATGTGTCAGAGAAGGTGGATAGAACTCCTTAAGGACTATGATTGTGACATCTTATACCATCCGGGCAAGGGCAACGTAGTAGCAGATGCCCTCAGCAGGAAAAGTGCAGGTATCTTAGCCCATTTGATGGTTTCAGAATGCAGACCAATTGGGGCTACACAACAGGTTCGACTTCATGATCTGAAGAGAGTCACATGTTTGGGCCGCCTGACAGTCCAGCCCGAGTTAATTCAGAGGATAAGGGAAGCCCAAACAGTTGACCCCGCCCTGGTAGCTCGCAAGAAGGATGCAGAACAGGAAAGGAGCTCAGAATTTTGAATATCTGCCGATGGACTACTTCGTTTCCAAGACAGGGTGTGTGTCCCAGATGACAGTGAGTTAAAAAGGGACATCATGACAGAGTCCCATGGCTCGAAGTTTGCTATGCATCCAGGAAGTACCAAAATGTACCAAAGCATGCGACCTCGGTTTTGGTGGCATGGGATGAAGAAAGACATAGCCGACTTTGTATCTAAATGTTTGGTATGTTAGCAGGTCAAGGCAGAGCATCAGTGCCCAGGTGGGTTACTTCAGCCTTTACCGATCCCGGAATGGAAGTGAGAACATATCACCATGGACTTCGTATCGGGGCTACCCAAGGCGCGTTTAGGACACGATGCCATATGGATAATCGTTGACCGACTTACCAAGTCTTCCCACTTCCTAGCCATCAGGATGACCGATTCATTGGACAAGTTGGCAAGGATGTATATCCGGGAGATAGTCAGATTGCATGGGGTTCCAGTAACAGTAGTGTCCGACAGGGATCCCAAGTTCACCTCTCGGTTTTGGAGTAGCTTCCAGCAAGCTATGGGAACAAAGCTGTCTCTTAGTACTGCCTTCCACCCCCAGACTGATGGACAATCAGAGAGGACAATTCGTACGCTTGAGGATATGCTCCGAGCTTGTGTCATTGACTCCGGGGGCCATTGGGACGACCATCTACCCTTGATAGAGTTTGCCTACAACAACAGCTACCAAGCAAGTATCGGCATGGCTCCATATGAGGCGCTATATGGGCGCCCGTGTAGTTCACCGATTTGTTGGGAGGAAGTGGGTGATAGAAGATTGTTCGGTCCGGAGTTGGTAGAGGAGACCACGTTCAAGATAGTTAAAATCAAGAAGAACATTCAAACAGCTCAGAGTAGGCAGAAGAGTTATGCAGATATCCGGAGGAGACACCTAGCATTTGAGAAAGGCGACCGCGTGTTTCTTAAGGTCACTCATTTCAAGGGAATTAGTAGGTTCGGCAGGAGGGGAAAATTAAACCCCCGATATATTGGACCATTTGAAATCTTAGACAAGATTGGTACCGCTGCCTACAGACTAGCACTGCCTCCCGAGCTCTTCCGAGTTCACAACGTGTTTCACATATCTATGCTACGTAAGTACAACCCGGACCCTTATCATGTCTTGGCTCATGAACCGCTTCCACTCCAAGAAGACTTATCTTATGAAGAAGTACCGGTCGGTATCACGGACCGAGAGAGCAGATACTCCGCAACTGGGAAATA